TACCAAGAATGATGCCTAGAACATCACATGGGGTTTAAGAAATGTTGAATTAATGGATAAATTCCTATGTGGCCACAATCAGTGGGAACTGAGTGTGGCTGTCCCTTTAGAAGGGGCCAGTTTGCTGCAGAACCTAACGCTCCCTCTTGTCTCCCTGACTCTGAGGATATCTGGAACCTTTCATCGTCTTGTTTGCTCTGTGTAGTTTTTATGGGGGGAGGAAAATGTTTTATCTCCATATCATTATCAAAAGGCACAAAATGAAAAAGAGCCTAGTCTATACCACTAAAATCTGATTCCTGCCTGACCCAGCGTGCATGTGGACCACCGAACTTCTAATTTTTCATTTTTATGCTGATGAATAGCAAATTCACTCTCCTGTGCTTCATGCCTGCCTTCCTGCTGCCTCCCAGACACTCCCCCCTTACAAATCCTACTTGCACCTCAATTAAGCTTTCCTGAACCCAGTGACCCACCATCCTCTGCAAACCCTCCCTTCTTCCCATGTACCCATCTTGGTAATGGCCCCATTAAGTTCCATAAGCCCAAGGTTTGGGGGACCCAGTGGTTAACAGTATCATTGACTCAGGGACCCAAGGTTTAGTGGGGCACCCAAAGATACAAATGATTACATGCAGGTGGCATTAACCTGGTTAGGAGAAGAACAAGGACACATGGGAACCTAAAGGAGGCTGGCAGTATGTAAACTAAGACCTGAAGACTCAGTAAGAGAGACCCCGATAAGGAGGGAAGGAAAAACTCCTCCTCCTGCTCAAGGCCAAGATGGGAGAGAATGTGAAACCCTGGATGAACCAGAGAAGTCTTGCGTGTGTGTCTATGTATGAGAGTGTGTGTTTGTGCATACATGTGCTTCAAGAATGGGTGTGGGCAACTTACCAGCAGGTAAGTCGGCACATAGGGACATGGAAGCACATTACAGACTTGGACTTGACCCTAAAGGTAATGTTGTCGTCGTTGTTGTTAAGTGCTATCGAGTGGGTTCCCATAGCGACCTTATATGGGGTTTCCAAGGAGCATCTGGTGAGCTTGGACTGCTGACCTTGTGATTCAAACCAACTTTGCAGTCCATCAAATTACCCCACAGTGCCCCACACCAGGACTCCCTAGAGGTAATGTTACGTGCCATGGAGTCCGTTCTGATTCTTAGTGACCCTGTACAGGGTTTCCGAGGCTGGAAATCTTTATGGGAGCAGAAAGCTTCATCTTTCTCCTGCAGAACAGCTGGTAGTTTCGAACTGCTGACCGTGAGATTAGCAGCCTGATTCGTAACCACTACGCTACCAGAGCTCCTTCCTCAAAGGTAATAGGGAATCATTAAAGGCCTGAGGTTTGTCTTACCACCTACCTATAACCATGCACCTACCTATAACCAAAAATGTAGGCATGAAGGCTTGCAGAGTCAAAGTCATGGATTTCCTTCCAGAATTTTTCTCTTTATACATACACCCATAAATGTGTGCCTGCCTTTTTCCTTGGCTCTAAGCATGGGATATTAATAACCATGTTGGCCCCTGGCTTTGTTTGGGGTGGGAGTGGGGGTTGAACACTTAATTTATCAGACTTTATGTGTTATTTATTTTGAAGTTTGATGTATCATCACTGTATTACAATGAATCTTGCAGTGTCATCAATATTCACCGGTTTGTTTTATGATGTTTCTGCAGAACTCAGAGAGGCCCTTTGAGAAGTATGCAAATTCTTTTTATACATCTACAAAAGCTTAATATACTTGGTCAACTTTTTCATCATTTGAAATACTTACCTTCTTAAGATTCACGCTAACTGGTTTTGCTTTGCTTTTAGCCTTAACAATTTTTTTTTTTAAGGTCTCTGTGAAATAGAGAGCCCTCATTATTGCTAAGTGCTGAGTCCGTTCAGACTCATAGGGACCCTGTATAGGATTTCTGAGGAGTGGCTGGTGAGTTTGAAGCACCAACCTTGCAATTCAAACCAGCCTTGTAGTCTAGTGCCAATACTACAACGCCACACCAGGACTCCAGAGAGCCCCTGTGTGGTAAAGGTGGTTTAGCTCTAGGCTGCTAACTGAAAAGGACTTTGGGGTCCACCCAGAGGTACCTCAGAAGGCCTGGTAATCTTCTTCCCCCAAGTCAGTCATTGAAAACCCTATGGAGCAGTTCTCCTCTGACATACATGGGGTCTCCAGGAGCTGGAATTAACAGTAACTGATTTTTTAATGTGAAATACATACCTGGGCCTCTGTACTTTCAGGTTGCCATTGTCTTTGATGCCCTTGTGCAGTTGCTCAAGCCCCAGGTAACACTGTCTCCTGAATTTTGTCACTTAATTTATTTTGGGTCACTCCTCACTCCATGTATTCTCACGGCAGCATGGTGTTGCACGCGGATGTCCCACATTTTGTGTAACCCACTTCCTGATTGTCTTCATCACCAGCCATGCCCTCCTGCACCCAGTCGTCTTCAGGACTCTCCCTGGAAGTGAACTTGCTGACTCAAATGCTGTCTGCCTTGTAAACATTGATAGATACTGATACATGCCCTTCTAAAAAGATTAGAATCAAGCTACTTTCCCAGCAAGAGTGAGGAAGGTTTTGAGCTGGGGAAGGACTTGATTGGATCTGTATCTTAGATCATTCAATCATTCATTGAGCAGATATTTGATTGGGAGCTTTCTTTCTTACTACAAGCTAGTCCTTGTTCTGTTCTGGGGATGCATCAGTGAACACAGCAAACCCCACTCTACTGGAGCTGACATTCTAATGGGAGAGACACACCACAAAGAATAAACAAATAAGGAAAACAGATGTGGGGAAAATGGAATGAAAAGATGATGGAGTTTTCCCACGAACTTTGTAAAGCCCTGTCTGTCAGATGGTGATAGGTTTTAGGAAGAGCAGTGGAGCAGGGCAAAGAGGATGAGCAGTGCCAGCCAAAGTGGAAGAGAGGCTATTTTATACAGGATGGAACATGTCAGGGAGCAAAGCATGAAGAAATCTAGAGAACCAACACTGTAGGCGTGGAAACAGCCAGTGTAAAGGATCTGAGGCAGGGTGTGTTCAAGGATCAGTGTGATTGAAGCAGCTTAATGGAGAGGAAGAGCCTGGGGGACAAGGTCAAGAGAGGTAATGGGCCCCCTGTGGAGCCCTGGTGGTTCTGTAGGATAAACGCTGGATGGCTAACCACAAGGCTGGCAGTTCAAACTCCCCAGCTGGTCCTCAACAAAGATGAGGCTCTCTGCTCTCATAAAGATTTATAACCTCGAAAATCCTATACAGTATAGGGCCGTTCTAAGTCAGAATCGACTCTATGGCAGTGCGTTTGGTGTTGGTTTGGTGGCTACTGTCAAGTTTGCTCTTACTTTGAATGAGTTGGGGAGACACTACCTGGTTCTGAGCAGAGAAGGGGCATGATTTGACTTGGTTTTACAAAGATCTCTATGGCTGCTCTGTGGAAAGTACACTGGAGGATGGTGAAAAGAGCAGCCAGGACTGTCCAGGTGAGAGGTAATGGGGGCTTGGCCCAGGGTATTGACCAACTTCTGGATATAATTTGAAGGTAGAGCTATGCCATTTTGCTGATGGATGGGGCATAGGGTGTCAGAAGAAGTCAAGAGTGACTCCAGGGGCGTTAGCCAGAACACTGGAGAGATGACTTTGGAAGAAGATGGTGGGAAGAACAGGTTTAGGGGAGACCGGTACTCTGCTCATGTGTGTTGAGTAGCAAATAGAGCAGGGGGGCCCTGCAGTTCCAGCAGCCTTCACGACCCTCCTGATGGATGTTTAAAGTGGAGTTCCCCTGTTCTCCAGATCTCTTTGCCAACACCATCACCCAGCCACCCCCTCCCTAACCAGAATCCTGCCTCACCATCCCCCACAGCCCAGGGTTTCCTGTCAGTGTCCCTCCAATCCTTCAACTTGGCCTCTAGCCCAGGACCTCTCCTGATGGGATTCTCATCTAGACTGTTGCAACTGCTCTGAACCTGTAACAGAGAAGGTGCTAGAATGATAAATGATTGACCCGCCTCAGTTTTCATGTCTTGGTCGGTCCCTCTTCTTTCATCTCTGACTCCACACTATCCTAGAGCAATCTTTGAAAACATACACATCTGACTGTGACCCTTTCCTGACTTTTGGGGCTTTATGGGGTCTACACAAACAATGATTTGATGGCCTACAGACTTATTTTGTTTGGCTCACATAGTGGTTTTAGGGCTGTTTTTTAGGATTATTAAGTACCGTGGAGTGGGTTCCGACTCATAGTGTTCCTGCACAGGGTTTCTGAGGCTGTAAATCTTTATGGGAGCAGAAAGCCTCATCTTTCTCCCATGGAACGGCTTGTAGTTCGCTTGTATTAAACAGGAATGTTTTTCATTAAAATTTTATGTCTCCCACTTCTCTTGAGAAACTGAAAGAGCTGGTGTTACTGGGTCCACATTTCTCCACAGCAGCACTTGGCCTTGGCCGGGTTGAGGGGCTCCCTCTTAGTAGACAAGGCATGTGCACTGTGATTTGCTGAAGTTCCTACCACTCTCGCAATTCCAACTCCTCTCATTTAAGATAGCTACCTGGCCCCTATGGCTGCAGATATTGTGGCCCCTGACCTAGAATAGCAAGAGGATAACTTCTGGGTAGCCTGTGTTACGGGATGTGGTTGACAAGGGAATGGCAATGGGAAATGGGGTTGAAAAGTTAGGCTGAGGCCAAGTAGTAAAAGGTCTTGAATGCCATGTTAGGAAGTCTGCCCTTTTATCCAGAGGCTGCGGTTGGATATGTGGCATGGTTGGATTTGTGTTTCTAGTGCAGGCTCACTATACAGAGAAGCTAGTGAGGAAGCCCTACTGCTAGGAGGGCCTGTGGAAGCAGAGTCTGTCTTCTGGCAACCTGCTTCCAAGTAAGAGGTTTCTTCCCTGCCAAGTCTCCCATGAGTCTTCAGTCTGCTCTTTCTTTGTTTCAGAACCAGGCAGTAGCCGTGGACTGGGCCCCAGCATGGACATGAGAGCAGATGGGCAGTGCTGAAGACCCAACCTGGCTCCAGCTGCTTCAAAAGGACTCCAGTCTCCTAGGACCACAGCCCATAGCCTTCTCCTGCCCCCAGGATGGGAGCCTGGGGGCTGGACGTCCAGCCATGAGGGACTGCTTCCCCTCCCAGGAAAAGGCCAGCCCTGTACTCCCCAGACACATCCCTGACCAAGGTCTAGGCATGGACTCTAGACACAGCAGCCCCACTGGGGCTGGGGAAGATGCCTCCTGCTCTGAAGGCACAGGTGAGAGCTTGGCCTGCCTCACCCCAACTTACATCCCTCCCCAAGAGGCAGCCAACAAGGGGACATTGGGGGCACATGAAGCCTCGGTCTCAGGGACACCAGAAATCCCCTTCTCTGGAAAGTCAGAGATTTCGAAGGCAGAACCAGTGCCCTCAGTGAAAATGGATCACACATCCTCAGAGAACAGAAATCCTATGTTCTTGGAAAAGGTAGATTTCAAGTCTTCAAAGAAGGCAGATTCTACTTCCACAGCAAAGGAAGATGCCAGGTCCCCAAAGAAGACAGATCCCACGATTATAGGACAGACAGAGTCTGCCATTCTGGGAAAAGGGGATCGTGTATCTTCTGGAAAGAGGGATACTGGATCCTTGGGAAAGGAGGGTCATATGCCCTCTAGCAAAGTGAATACAGTGTCCCCAAGGAAGGAGGGTCCTGACTCTTTAAGAAAGGTGGATCCCGTGTCTTTGGGCAAAGTGGAGCCTGCATTATCAAAAAAGGAGGATGATAGCTACTCAGGAAAAGAGCATCTTGTGTCCTCAGAAAAGGTGTGTCCTGTATCCTCAGGAAAGGCAGATCATGGGCCTTCAGGAAAGGTGGATTCTGTGTCCTTGGAAAACACAGGCTCTGCATCTGCAGAAAAGACTGATCCTGCGTCCTTGGGAAAGCTGACTCCAGGATCCTCCGGCAAGACAGACCCTGTATCCTTGAGAACAGTGGATCTTGGGTCCTCAGGAAAGGGAGTTCCTACAGGCTTGGGGATGGCAGATTCTATGTCTAGAGAAAATGTAGAAACTGTGTCCTCCATAAAAGAGGACCCCAAGATCCTGGAAAAGATGGATCCTACCTCCTCAGGAAAGGGGGATTCAATATCTGTGAGAGTGATGAAAACCGTATCCGCTGAGCAAGTAGATGCTGTGTTTTCAGGGAAGGTGGATCCCACATCTATAAAAAATGTGGAGCTCATAGCTTCAGATAAGGGTCCTGTTTCTTTGGGAAAGGTGAATCCCATGTCCTTGTCTTCCGAGCAGGCTGAGCTTGTATCTGTGGGAGAGACAAACACTGCATCCTCAGGAAAAGAGGTTCCTGTGTTCTCCACAAAGGTGGATCCCATTTCTGTGGGAAATATAAAAGCATCATCTTCCGGAAAAGAGAACCCTGAATCTTCAGGGAAGATAGACCCTTTGTCCTCAGCTCCAGGAGATCCCAAGTCCTTGGGGACTGTAGGACACCTGTCCTCAATAAAAGCCGAAACCGTGACTACAGAGAGTGCAGGCCCACTGTCCTTGAATAAGGCAGATCCTGTGGCCTCCCAGAAGACCTTGGGCAAAGTGGACCCTGTGAAGACCAGAGGAGAGGCAGAAGTAGACTCTATGTCCTTGGGAAAGGTGGATCCTATGTGCTCTGGAAAAGCAGAAGCTGGCCAAGAGATGAAGGTGGATCCTCCACTTCCAGAGAAAGGAAATCCTGTGAACTCCAGGAAAGTGGATTCCAGTGCCTTTGGGAAAGCAGAGCTGACATCTGAGAGCAAACCAGAACTGAAGTCTCCTGGGAAAGAGTGCCCCACGTCATCAGGAAAAACAGCAGTGGTTTCACAGAAGAATTCGCTGAACTCAGTAGATCCCAGCTCTGGAAAAGCAGACCCTGTTGCCTCGGGAAAGGTGGCTGCCGAAACCCCGGGGAAGGTACCTTCTGAGTCTCCGAGAAAAGCAGAGCCTCCAGCCTTGGAGAAGGTAGCCCCTCGGACTCTGGGGAAGGCTGAGGCCTCCTCCAGGAAGTTGAATGGACAACCCCAAGGCACAGTCCCTACTCCCCAGGGAGTCGGAAGCAGCAGCGGGGTTCGCCCAGTGTCCATGTCCGAGCCCCACACTGAGACTTCCAGCCTCAGTCCGAATGACTCAATAGCTTCTGGGACCACGAAAAGCCCCAGCCTTGAGGCCTTTGCATCACGACCCGGGCCACGAACTCGCGACAACTTCACCAAGGCGCCATCGTGGGAGGCGAGTGCCCTTCCACCGCCGCCGCCACCACCACGTGAGGATGCGGGTACGCAGGCAGGGGCGCAGGCCTGTGTCTCGGTGGCCGTGAGCCCCATGTCTCCGCAGGACGGCGCGGGTGGCCCGGCCTTCAGCTTCCAGGCGGCGCTGCACGCTCCAAGTCCCACACCCAGGCCACCCTCGCGCCGGGATGCGGGCCTCCAAGTGTCGCTGGGCTCCGCTGAAACACGCTCTGTGGCCACCGGGCCCATGACGCCGCAGGCCGCCGCACCACCAGTCTTCCCCGAGGTGCGGGTGCGGCCTGGCTCAGTGCTAGCGGCCGCAGTGACACCCCCAGAGGTAGCCGAGCCTGTGCGCGACGTAAGCTGGGACGAAAAGGGCATGACATGGGAGGTGTATGGTGCCTCCATGGAGGTGGAAGTGCTGGGTATGGCCATCCAGAAGCACTTGGAGCGGCAGATTGAGGAGCACGGCCGCCAAGGGGCACCCGCACCACCGTCTACCACCCGCCCGGGCCCTGGCCGCTCGGGCTCCGTGCGTGCTGTGCCTCCTGAGGGTGCAGTGAAGCGCCCACCCGGCCTTTTCCGTGCGCTGCTGCAAAGTGTGCGGCGGCCACGGTGCTGCTCACGTGCTGGACCCACGGCCGAATGACCTGAGCCCGTTTTGTATGCCGACGCCCAGGGATCCCCATGGCACTCGCCAAGCCCTTGAGGGGTGGGCAGCCTGTAGGTTCCTTTTCCTCTTCTTTCCAGCCCCTTTTCTCCCTGACTCATATACTAAACCCCTTCTACCCAGCTCCCTTGTGGCCATGAACCCACAAATCCAGCCCTGCAACCCTCTTCACAGCCCTCAGCTCTATTCTCGGTCACACTGGGCGACCACAGGGACTTGCTCAGCACCCCACCCCTCAGAGGCAGCCAGCCTCCAGAGACATCCAGACATCCAGCAGGCCAGGTTCCCAGAATAGGAGACACCGTGCAAATCGGAGTGGATAAAGCTCCAGGAGTACAAGGATTGGTGTACAAGGTGGGATCCCTGGGTGTGCAAGGCTCTGAATGTGGCCCTAGGCATGCGAGGCTCTGAAAGAATGTATGAGGGTCTGGGCTGGCCCCCAGGGCCTGGGCATCTCCTGCATGCTGTTGGTAGCCCTTCCCCAATCCATGTGTGTTCACTGGTTCAGTTCCCCACCTCTTTGCATCTGATCACTGGTTGGTAATTATCAGACCAAAGGCAGCGCAGGACGTGCCCTGGGGGCTCAGTTGAGAGGCAGAGTCAAAGATCTGAGGGTCTCAGGCCAGGAGGTCACAGTTGGAGTCTCATGCCACAGGCAGCTTGGTGACAGCTAGCTGGTCTTGGGGACAGGATGGTGAACTCATTCTACAACATAACTGTCCTTTAAAGGCCACCCTCTCCAGCCCTCTCTCCTTCCCCTCCCCTGTGCTGTGACCCCTCACAAGTCCCTTGTGACCACTCAGTGCCCTTGCCCCTGCCCCTCCGGCCGTGATTTTTGGCTACAAACTGTCACAGTATACATTGGTAATAAAATCTTTCCCCAACCATTGTTTGTTGTGATTGGCTAAAAGCAGAAAGGGGTAGGACAACAAATATATTATTGCACTTAAAGAGAGGGGATATACAACTTGGGGGTAAACCCAGAAGAGCAGGGAGCAATGTGGATCTCTGGCAGGCCCAGATCACAGGTCTGTGGTGTCTAGGCCATCGTTGGTGAAGCACCTTATCCCCTGGTGGCTACCAGAGTCCATCTGTCTTCCTGACAACACCAGGCTCAGAGGTTCTGCATCTGACTCCATGAGACTGGGTGGCAGCTCCTCCTAGGGGAATAAAGAGTGCAGGGGCAAGATGGAGTGATTTCCCAGGCACTGGGAAGGGGGCAGATCTTCAAGCCTACATGCGTATGACTTAAAGTAGGGGACCCCTGCTCCTCCTGGACCTTATCTGCGTTCCATGCAGATGGGCCTGAAAGGCTCTGCCTGGTCTTTGCCTGAGTCACACGAGGTCCTGTGCCAAGGAGTCATGCAGACAATTCCTGCCACCTGCACTTTGGACCCACCACTCGTCGGTTAGTTTCTCACACTGTGGTGGCTTGTGTGTTGCTGTGATGCTGGAAGCTATGCCACTGATATTTTGAATGCCGGCAGGGTCACCCATTGTGGATACGTTTCAGTTAAGCTTCCAGACTAAGACAGACTTAGAAGAAGGAAAGATAGACTACTGAATGTTTATGAGTAACAGTGAAACACTGTCAGCACCAGAATATTGAAGCATGGAGGATGGCACTGGACCAGGCAATATTTCATTCTGTCGTACATGGTTGCTGTATGTTGGAGCCGACTTGATGGCACCTAACAACAATAACAAGCACTTTGTGGCAGGCATTGTGTTGGGCATGCTCCATCCATTACTTGGAATGCCCACAAAGGGAGGGAACACGTCCTCCATTTTGATGGTAGTGATGGTATGTCGTAGTCAGTTCGGATTCATAGCAACCCTACTGTAAATCTTCATGGGAGCAGAAAGCCTTCTCTTTCTCCAGAGGAGCAGCTGGTAGATTTGAACTGCTGACTTTGCGGTTAGCAGCCCAGCTTGAAATCCTCGTGCTCTGTTTTATGTGTGTAGAAATGGAGGCTCAGTAGGCTTTCATGACCAGGAAGGGGCAGAGCTGAGTTTGGGCTGCTGATCTTGCTGGCTTTAAAGCCCTTGCCCTGTCCACAGTGTGACACTATTCCTGTCTGAATTCATCATCTCCCTCCTGCAACCCTCAGGGTCTCACTGGCAGTTCATTTCGTGCCCACTCACTTGCCTGACCTGCCCTCCTCCCCACTCCCAGTGCGATGTGTTTCTGCCCATGGGCCGATACCTCAGCTACTCTGCTGCAGAGCTAGAGCCACCATCACCCTCCCTAGGGAACACCAAGATGGTTTTCCAGGTGGGCTATTCTGGTCCCTGGTAGACAGTGGAATATCTGAGGGGTCCCAGAGAGTGAAACATTCTGCTTGGGCTCTCCAGAGCCCTTGCTACAGACCATGAGCTGGGAACTCTTCTGCAGAGTGGCCCAGGATAATAGCCCCTGGCCTGGGAGGCAGGACACCTAGGTTCAGGTCTGTTCCCTGCTTTGCAAATCGACCCTGAGCAATTCTGTTTCTGTATTAGTGCCTCAAAGAGGGTAAATTGGATGAACCGCTCAGGCCACTCGCATATCCCACACAAATGTTTATTGTGCTCTGGCATAAAGATGCTAACCCAAAAGTTGGCAGCTCGAATCTACACAGAGGCCCCTTGGTGATCTAGTTCTGCCCTACTCGGATGCATGTGGGGACACCATGGGTTTGGGTTTTTACTTTCAGATGAACTCATAGCACCAAGGAACTCCCTGAAAAAGGTGCCATCTATGTTCCTCAGCCAGGGGCAGGAGGCAAGGGCAGACTCCAGAGAAGGCCAAATGCCACTGTTATGGAAGGAGATGGTGCCTCGGCCATTTCTCAGAAGTATCTCCCCAGCACCACTGTGCCTCCCCCAGGACAAAGTCTTAGCTCATTTATAGTTTTGAAGGGTCCCAGTGATCTGGCCCCACCCCTCCCTGACTCTTCAATACTAATTGCCCCTTCCCAGCCCACAGGCCCAACTCCTCCCTTGATGGCCCCTGGCTCCATTCCTGCCAGTCTTCCCCTGGGGCGGCGCCTGCTCCGGCTGCCTGCCCATTCTCTCCAAGTCACCAGCTCTGGCAGGCAAGAGACTCCCTTCTGCCTCAGTTCCCCGCAGATGAGTTCACTGGAGTTTTTGCCTTAAACCATCTTCAAACAGATCAATGGTTGACTCTCACACTGGGGTTTCGGTGCAACTGTCACATAATGTAAAATCCAAGAGTGACTTGCTGACCACATTTTCCAAGTTAAGAGGTTTATGGGAAAATAATGAAGCATAAGGGGAAGGCTTAGAGTCTCAGAGGACAGGACCAGCATGGGCAGTGCCAAGTGGGTAGTGAGTGCGGGGTGGATGGGTGGGTGACACCCCCCTACAGAATAGCAGACTCAGAATGAGGAGGAGGGCAGGTGCTGTCTCCCTTTCTGGAATTTACCCATCTCTGCTATTAGTCAGTGGTGGTAGTTGTAGAATTTTGACTCTATAGTGACCCCATATGGCAGAGTAGAACTGACTCATAGAGTTTTCTAGAGTATAATTTTTACAGAAGGAGCTCCCCAGGAGCTGCTGTGTGGGTTCAAGCTGTCAACCGTTAGGTTAGCTGCCAAGTGCTTAACCATTGTGCCATCAAGTTTCCTTACCATTGGTCCGTTATTGTTAAATGTCAAATCGGTTGTGACTCACAGAAACTCTCTATAGGGCTTTCAAGGAGCAGCTGGTGGGCTTGAACTACCGACCTTGCAGTTAGCAGTCCAGTGTTTATTCCACAACACCACACCAGGACCCCACTGGGACCAACCTTAGACCTGCTGAATCAAAGACTGTGGCATGGGGGCCCAGCAGTCTGTGTAGTAAGCACTCTTCACGTGACTGTAAAGCCCTCTCACATAAGAGAACTGATATACTCCAGTGGTTCTCCATCTTGGCTGCACACTAGAATCCCCTGAGAAACTTTTACAACATGTTTGTGCCCAGACCCTATCCCAGGCCAGCAGAATCCAGATCTCTAGCATGTGACCTGGAGGGTATTTTCAAAGACAGCCACACAATCAGCAACGCAGCTTGGGCTCTATTCATCTGATGTAACCACTAACATAGTCAATAGACAGCTGCCCTGCTGTCTATTTAAGCCTACCTTCGTCTTCTTTGCTGGACTGGGTTTGTTCATCGCTCCATCTTTCCCCCATCCTCACCAGTTTTTATATAAAGGTTATAAAGGGATGAAATCAGACTTGTGAATACTTGCTTTGGCCAGGTAATGTATATAGGTTATTGTTGTTAAGTGCTATTGAGTTGGTTCCAACTCATAGTGATCCCGTAGGGTTTCCAAGGAGCAGCTAGTGAGTTTGAGCTGCTGAACTTGTGGTTCAAACCGACCTTGTGGTCCAGTGCTTTGCCCTACAATACAACACCAGGACTCTATTCTATAATTCTCACAACAGGCCTATACAGTTAGCATTTTGATCTCCATTTTACAGATGAGAAACTGAGAATCAGAGAGAAGTCATTCATCCAGGGTTGCATGGTGAATGAGTGGAGGAGCAGAGATTGGACCCTGTTCTAAAGTCACAGGCCTTCCTGGGGCCGGGCGCAAAGAGGCAAGGCTGCCACTGATGCCCATGTCTGCAGCAGGTCCCCCAAGCTCTGTCTTGAACCCAACCCTTCAAAAAAGAACCCTGAGTCAGAAGCCCCAGGCACCAACTCACTTCCTGTGTTGCCTTGATTTCCTTTTTGTCCTGGCCCAGGTCCACAGTATTGTCATCCAGGGAGTTGAGGCTATGGGAGAAGATGGAGCTCAGGTAGTTGGCAGGCCCAGTCATCCCTGTTTATGGCCAAAACCCACTACCACACCACCACCATCATCACTACCATCACCAACCAGCCTGCCTGTATATCGTCACTGCTCACCTGACATAGTCTAAGTCGCTAGAGGAAGAGTGGGACTCGAAGGCAAGATCCTTAGCAGGGAGGTTCAACATGGGGTTGGCCCTGAAGAGAAGATTCAGAGTTGACCTTCCAGCCAACCAGCCATAGCCCTGCAACCCTGTGAGGCTTCTTACCCAGCTTTGACCCCTACTTACCGCTCAGTGTTGTACATGTTAGTTCCAGGGATGGCAGGGCCTGATGGCATCACCCCTGCTGCTGTCTTCCGGGCCTCCTTGGCAGCCTTCATAGCCCAAAGCTTCCGGCGGTAGCTGTGGGGCCCAGGAAGGAGGTCACTACTTGCTCTGCCCCACTCCCCACGTGTGAACCTAGTGCAGACCTTGAGAGTGTGGCTTCACCACAACTCTGGCAGGTGGAACTGTTAGCTCTGTTTTCCGGGGGCTACAAGGAAGGTCAGAGAAGGGAAGTGATTTGATGAAGGCCACACAGCTGGCTAGTGGCACAGTTTGGAATCCAGCCCAGATGTGGCTCTTGACTCCACAAGGAAAAAGAAGAAGCATTTATTAAATGCATAGTATGTGCCAGACATCTTCCTGGGTGGCAGATGCACATTACTTCATTAAGTGCTTTGAGGACTCTAGTGTCATGCTCATTATGCAGATGAACAAACTGAGGGTCAGGTATGGAGGTGACCTGTCCATGATACCACAGTGAGTTACTGGGGACTGAATACAAATCTACCTCATGCCTAAACCCAAGGTCTTTCTATCCCCTGGATGCCTTCTGTGTGGAGAGAGGGTGAGGATTGGAGACCCACAGAGTGATGGGAGCCGCACCTCTTTCGGACACACACGAGGGCAATGGTCATGACCAAGAAGACCAGCAACAAAGCCAGCCCCAGTCCCACGATGACGCTGATGAGCACCTTTGGCAGGTCTGACTCCTGGCTCTCCTGGGAGCCCTGGAGAAGAAGGGTGAATAAGAGGACTGTGGGCCCAGCAGCACCACCCTCCTCCCAAGTGACCCCGGCCTGCCATCACTCACCAGCACCACCAGACCCAGCTGGAGCAACTGTGTCAGCGAGTCCTGATCTTTCCGGATCATCCTGGCCACAGAACCCGCTCAGACCAAAGGACATTGGCACCCCCCAGGTGTCTTACTCATTCCCCTCCCACCCGGGGGGTGACCCCACTCACACATTCAGCTCGTTAAGGGTTAGGGCAGATCCATTTGAGAAGACAAAGTAGGCATCAAGGTAGGAGCGGCTCCGGGCCCTGGAATGGGATGGGGTGAAGTCAGCAGCCCAGAAACACCCAGCAACCCTCTGCCTCTTGTCCTTATCTTCAACCACTGGGCCACTGGGCACTCACCGAGCTGTGGTGTCTATATCCTGAATGCTCACAATGTAGACAGTAGTCCTGGTTGCCTGGGTAAGAGCCCTGTGAAGGGAGCAAGTGTTGCAGAGGTCTGGAATAGAGCCTCTGCCAGTGGAATTAGGAATTGTGGGAATTAGAAAAGGGCACCTCTTCTGGACAACTGCATCAGCATTGGCTCAGCATTAGGAAAATATACCCCTTCCTCGGGGACTGAACTCACAGCCTGGCAAGCAGAGTGCCTTTGTGCAGTGTACGGCTGTCCTGCTTAGGCAACTTTGTAGCCAACTAGCCATAGACTCTGAGGCTACGTGGGAAATGGCACAAGTACAGGTTCCAAACTAGGAACCAGGTCAAGTGTGGGTCAGAAGCAGAGTTGAGAGAGAGTCTGCTCAGGTCTTGTCTAAGACCACGCTTCCAGACCCTGTTCTTCCCCACAGCCCCCAGCCAGGCTTCCCAGACCTACGCCTTAATGTCGTCCAGTTTGGCGCCCACCTCCTCCTTGGGCATAGAGAACTGTAGTCTGACGCGGAAACTCTGGTCCACAGTGAAGAGCTGCAGGAGAAAGGTGTGGGAGGAGATGCGGTGCACAGGGCCAGGGGCTGGCAGAGAGCATTAGGGGCTGGAGGTGGGGCCTGATACTCACATTCAGGGTCATTTTGTCTTTCTGGATGTTCCCCACAGATGGTTTGTCCTTTGCCTCGACTGTCACTTGGTAGGTGCCTTGGAGAGTGGAATCAAGGTTGGTCACCAGCCTATGAAAGGTAGGAGGACACAACTCAGCCTCCGAGTCCAACTGCTTGTCCCTTCCTAGGACTGGGAGCTTGCTGTCCTAGGTTCTTTTTACTCCCTCCAATCCAGGGGCTTGCCCACAGTTACTTAATATTGCCAATGAACACATTGGCCTCCGAGGAGGTGGTGATCCCGAAGTAACCCTGGAAAGAGGTGATGGTCCCATCCTTAGAGAGGAAGTCCACTTGAAGGATGGAGAACAGGATGGCACCATTGTCCCCTGAGTCATCATCTCTGGCCTAGGAGCAGCAGTGGATGGCATCAGGCAGCCAGGCCAGGCACTCACAGCCCCCAGCAAGGACAAAAGGCTGGGTGGCCTAAGAGGCTGGCCTCTATGATCTTCATCAGCCATCCCCACCAGCCACTGTGAAGATGATTCCAAGTCACGGTGACCCCATTTGTGAGATCCTGCTCTGCCTTCTATCCCTTCCCTCCCCGCTGCCCCTTACACAAGCATTAAGCATTAGGATGCTCAGACTTCATGAGCAACTACTGTGTACCGGGCCTTTTCCTGGGTCCTCTCATTTCAGTGTGTACCTAAGTGTGTACAAATTCCCTTAGCAGATGGTGATATGGTGTGGGTGGGAGGTGAGGGGACACAACACCTTTATTCATTCTAGAGCCTTTTAGAGAACAGTAGCATCAGCTCAGAGAGCTGTGAGCCCATTGACATTATTGCTCAGGATGAGGCCAAAGTTGGTATGAAGTTTCAAAAAGGAGTCGGCTTAAAGAAAATGGCTAAACTAATAATGCAAGGAGGTTCACAACCAAGGCCAAACTCACAGCATTGTGATACAATTAACTGAAGATTAGAAAATGGGATAAATGACTATTTAAGGTCTGGAATCTTCTTCTCCCCAAAAAGCACTGGTTGCTGTTGAGTTGATTCTGACTCATGGTGATCCTATATATGCAAACATGCAGAGTGGGACTTTCAAGGCTGTGACTTTTCAGAAACAGATTGCCAGGCCTTTCTTCCAAGGTACCGCCGGGTGGTTTGGAACCACCAGACTTTCAAAGCCCAGAGAGGGAAAATTATGATTCCCATTTTACAAGAGGAAATGGAGACTCCAGAGCCATTGCTCTGCATGAGGGCATACTTAGCTGTAATGGGGAGGGTCAGTAGGCTACTTCCTACACCTGTGCTGTCCACAACAGAGGGGTGACACCAGAGACCACCAGGTCTCTTAACCCTGACTGCTGGGAACTAGTGCCAACAATGCAGCTGATTTGCCAGCTTCTTGTCCAGGAAGAGGTGGAGCCTTGTTAGCCTTGGTTAAGCATTTGGCTGCTAACCTAAACGTCAGTAGCTGAAACCCACCAGCTGTTCCATGAAAGAAAGATGTGCCAGTTAATTTCTGTAAAGACTGTAGTCTTGAAAACACTATGGGGCAGTTCTATACCCTGGAGTCAATGTAAATTGGAACGGACTCAGTGGAAACAGGTTAGAATTTTGTCTAGGAGGGGAAACTGAGTCCCAGAGAGGGGTGGCAGCTCAGAAAGAATCCCCAATGCTATGTGAGAGACCTAACCTACCACAGAGCGTAGCTACCACCTTTTAATGTTAAGTGCCATCGAGTCAGTTCCAACTGATAGGAACTCTGTATAGTGTTTCTGAGGAGCAATTGGTGGGTTTGAACCAGCAATCTTTTGGTTAACAGTACAATGCTTATCTACAGTGCCTCACTAGGACTCCCTACCTTCTAATAAATACATTCAAATCCAACACCATAATCACATTTTTATAATTTTGCTCTGGAAATTATTCAGCTACAAGGAACACATTTAATTTACAGTTGGCTGTGATTTCTCCACAATGTTCAAGAACTCTAGTGTAGTGAGAAAAATGTAGCCTGCAAGTGGTTTTTATATTCATGAAATTTTTATGAATAATAAATTTAACAATTAATGAAGTTTGATCACATCAATGAGGCAGGTGTTAATTTCCATCCTGGGGTTTTCTTTTCAGATGTGAGTGCCAATAAATTTCCTTTCTGGTGTTAAAAACATCTTGGGGGCAGCTGAAAGACCCAGAAGCCTTAGCCCTGTATATCCTGGGTCTGCTAGCCACCAAAGGGTGGAGCCAAAGACTTACCTGGACAGAAGCCACCTGTTGGTTGGGCACCACAAGTTCCGGAATGATCACTACAGGTGTGGACAAGAAGGGGTCAATGAGATTAGGGACAATGATCTCAAGTCTAGCTCAGGGCTCATCACTAGAGACCCCAGTACAGCTACTCCTGAGCCAGTAGTTAGCACGCCCCCAAATCCCAGAGAGGTACAGCCTAGGGTCAAACTGAGTCGAGGCAGAACTGGGGTGGAACCTTTTGGAACCCTGGGATGGGACAGGGTTGAAGGCCTTTATCTATTTCTAAGGTTCCACCTAAGGCCTGAGGAGGGTCTATGGAGGGTTCCAAGGATGATTCTAGTGAATCAGGGTTATGCGTGTTGGGGATGGGAGAAGTTGCTACTTACCAAAAGTCTTATTCTCGGGTAGAAAATAAGGCGCATTGTCATTCACGTCCTTGATGCTGATGGGGAGAGTTCCTAGGGTGACAAAGTGGATTGGCTTTGGGCCCCAGGCAGGGAGCCTGGGGTTCAACTCTGCAGCCTCCCTCTCATGTATCAGAACTCAATCCCCTCCCCAACTGCTGACCCCAGGATGCCCACTCATCTTCTCTAGCCTGTGTGGGAGGGTATGTCATTCCTAGACCTCAGAGCAGGCAAGCATTTGTTCAAGGTCACACAGTAAAAGTGGTGGACTGGAACTGAGGACAGCCCAGGTATATCCCATCAGACTATGACATTTCACTGATACTTGCTAGCTGTGTAAGCTAGTTAGTTAATTGTCTACTCTGTACCTCATTCTCCTCATCTGTAGAATTGGATAGGGAACACCTACCTCATGGATTGTGTGGGAGATCTTATAAAGTGCCTGGCATAGTTCTTGACTGTAGTAAGGACTTGAGATAAGCTTGCTGTTAATATGGCTACTGTTGTTATTTGGAATTCCTGGGCAGTCCAAACAGCTAACATATTTGGCTATTAACTGAAAGGTTGGCTGTTCATCTACTCAGAGGTGCTTCGAAAGAAATGTCTGGTAATCTACTTTCAGATATCAGCTTTTGAAAATCCTATGGAAGTCCTTGAAATGTACAAGAAGAAACTTGAGGGCAGGAGAGGGGAGACTGGAAAAGAAAAAACTGAAAGGATATAAAAACTTTTTACATTTTTTTTTTTTTTTTCAAAAGAGCACTTGCCCTAAGTTGAAATCAACTTGATGGCAGCTAATAGTTTATTGTCATTTGGTGTCAAAGGTGGGATATGAATTCAGGTCTCTCTAACTCTGACATGTGCTTTTTCCTTTACACCACCTCACAAAACAATAGCACCCATTTAAGTGCCATGTGCCAGAATGGGAGCGCAGTGGCTCAGTAGGTTAAGCACTGGACTCTGAATCACAAAATTGGCAGCTCAAGCTCACCACCATGGTACCATAGCAGTTATGAGATGGGCTGTTAACTCCAAGGTCAGCAGTCTGAGTTTACCAGTAGCTCTGTAGGAGAAAGATAAGGCTTTCTGCTCCCACAAAGATTTACAGACTTTGATACTCTTACAGGGTCACTATCAGTTGGAACTAACTCAACAGCACTAAATAACAACAATGTGTCAGGCACTACACTAAATGCATGTTTGAAAGCATGTTCTCATTTAATCTTAGACAGACAACCCACTGCCTAACTCCACTGATCAGAAGAGAAAAGTATAGCTTGAGAGAGGTGTAATGACTTGCTCATATAGAGGAGCAAGAATCCAAGCCAATATGAACCCAGATCTGTGGCTGCCATTCTAGGACTCTTCCCACTGCCTTGTAGGCCTGGCCCCCTCACCATTGTTACTGTAGGCCTCGAAGCGGGGGTCCGTCATGAGGTCATAGGCCCGCACGACCAGAGTGACCAGGTCGCAGCTCTCATAGTCGATGGCCTCACTCTGATTGATGAGCACAGAGCCATTGGCCATCACAGAGAACCACTCACGGCACAGGCTGCCCACATCAACTCCTGCCTTGGTACAAATGACGTTCATAAGCTGGACCTCCAGCTTGGCCTCGGTGTCCACATCCTCGGCAACCACCTGAGCCACTATGCCATACTCTGAGCCATTCTCAGCCACGCTGATGCCCTGAAGTGAGGCTGGGTTCAAGGTAGGTGGCTCGTCATTCACATCCTTCACAGTCACGTAGACAATTGCTGTGGTCTCAGCCTGGGGGTCTGGGTCCATGGCATTTACTGTGAGAATGAAGGAGTTCTGTGTCTCGTAGTTCAGACTCACATCTAGGGGCAGCTGGAGCTGGCCCATGGCAAACCCAGACCCCAGCAGTGAGCCTCGGATCATGAAGTTGTTGGAGCCAGTCCCTGAAAGGCTAAAACTGATGCGGTTGTTGACTTCCGTCTGGTCTGCATCCTGGGCCACCACCACACCCACTGGTGCTCCTGTGGATAGAGCAGAGAGTAGAGGGACCCTTGCCTGGTCACCGGGAGTCTCCTCTGCCATCTCCCTACAGACTTATAAAGGGTCAGATGCCATATTGTGCACAGGGAGGACTTACCTGATTCCCTCTCCTTCACTGAGAAGTAGTAGTTGGACTGGTTGAAGATGGGCAGGTTATCGTTGATGTCCTGCAAGCAGAGCAATCCTGAGCCCAATGGAGCCTAGAAGCCCTCGGGGGGCACCCTCCCCAGAGCCAATCTGAGAGGGCAGTAGTGCTTCAGAGTAGAATTCTTGCCTCCTATATGGAAGACCCTGTGCAATTCCTAGCCAATGCACCACCTGTCCTGTCAGCGGAGCCTTACATGTTGCTATGATGCTGAACAGGTTTCAGTAAAGCTTTCAGACTAAGATGAGCTAGAAAGAAACGACCAGGCAGCCTTTATTCCCCTGTGCCTGGGGCCACCAGGAACCATGCTGATTCAATAGGAGCTAGCAAAAAAAGCCAATCTGAGAAACCAATACAAGGGGGCTTCAAACGTTTGTGGGGAAGTTCCAGTCTCTTTCAATTCCATTTTCCATGGACTTTTTGAAGCCCCCTGGTATTTCCTCTACTCTAAGTTACACAGTCTCTCTGCCCATGTCTCCACTGAAACTACCTGGTGAGGTTGTGTATTCATTTAACAGATGAGGAAACAGCCTTCAAGAGAGGTCAGAGGAACTGTTTTTGTTTAAATACGGAAAAGGCCAGAGCAAGGGGTATGGAGAGGGAAAGAGAGTTTAAAAACAAAACAGACCAAAAATTAAATTAAATCCTGAGGTACAGCATAACAACTATTAGTGGCATCTTGAAATCTCTCAGGCAGCTTTGAAGGCAAGAAGCTGAAAGAGGACAGTAAGTCAAACTCATATTAGGATACAGATTTTTTTCTTCTTCTTCCTCTCGCCTTCCTCTCCCTTTTCTGTGATTATAGACTCCACTCTAGTTTTTGTTGTTGTTGTTGTTGTTATTGCTGTTGTTGTTGTTTTGTTTTTCTTGGGATTTTTTTTTTTTCTGTTGCTGTTTTGCTGTTTTATGCTCCCTCTTCTTTGGGGGGGGGCTCTTTCTCTCCCTAAACTACCCAAGAAGAGACAGCAACTGCTGCCATATAATCAAGCTACAATCACACTCTATAAACCACCAAAATCCAGGCAAGAACCATTACCATACACTGGGGAGGCAGAAAACACCTGTGAAAGTTACTCTGAGTTAAGCAATAAGAAGAGTGAAAAGGGAAGCCCACATCCTGATCCTATCTACCTAGAGGCAATCAGAAAGCATAAAAAATACCAAAACACACACTCAATTAAGTATTAAGGCCACAGATAAACACTAAACATTTCCAAAAAGCAAAAGCAGATGACCATATCAGCACATGTCCAAAAACAAGATAAAATGTCTGAGATAAATGATCTAGAGATAAACCTGGACTCCATTCTGGAAGGAGGGCAGGTCTTGGAAATGCCTGAGAAGGAATTCAGAAAAAAAGATTATAAAATGTTTCAAAACACTTTACAATGGAGTTGAGAAAAATAAGGAAGAAGTCAAGAAAGTGCTACAGAACAATCAAATAAGATAGATACAGCATTGGAAACAATTCAAAACCTACAGAAAGAGGTCCAAATGATCAATGATAGAATATCAGAAATAGACAATACACTGAAAGGGCAAAGGAGTAGAATAGAAGAGATGGAAGGCAGAACCAGTGAGCTGGAAGACAATCTCTCAATACTACTAAGATAGAAGAGCA